TATGCTCCAAATCAGATACTGGACTGCCACATGATGCCAAGGCATCACATATCTCTTTAACTTGAGAGATGTAGCCTCGCATCCCTAAATCTCCTTGATGGACTGCTTTAAGTTGATAGTGCAAGTTCATTATTGCCGTTGTAGACCTACAGACAAAAATCTTGTTAATTGTCTTCTATACTTGAGCAGCTGTCTCAGCCCCCACTAAATGTGGTAATAAGGACGGACTGATTATAGACAGCATCCATGAAGCCAAGACACTATCTTGGACCACAAAGATCTCATGCTATTCATTTTCAACAACCGCGCCATCATCCAACACAATCATATTGAACGGAGCAACCACCAAACCATAAAGCAGTTTCTCAAGTCGATGACTCCTAACTGTCAACAAAACTTGTTTCCACAGCAGGAAGTTTCGTTCATCAAGCACCACGCTCAATCGTTTATTAGTAAAACCTTTGGAAACAGCTACCAAGTGATCTGAGCTGCTCACAACACCACCAGAAAGAGGAGAAGTAGGGAGCATCATATAGAGAATGACACTCAACGTAAAAACTGAAGCAACTCCTACTGTACCACCAGATCACCAGTATCTGATACCATGTTGAAGTTTATGCTCAAGAATCTTGAAGTTTATCAAGAAGATACAAGAGTATGTTATTAACCAAGGACATGCAATACATTTATACATAAGGTTACAACCTTAACAACCTTATAACAACTTCTAACCACTCTAACTAATCTAACAACCTGCACATTAACTGCTTAACACACACACACTCCAAGCTATACTGCACATACGCACACATGCATGCAGTCATGCTTCAACATTGGATATTGCTTGGGCAACCTGATGAAGCTAATATCCTGTACACAAAACCAACAATTACATTTAACATACAATAATCAAATCACATTTAGTCTCTGACGAAAAATTAGAGAAATTGAAACCAAATAATAAGCAGATTGCTAACAACAACTCTAAAATGTTTCATTTACAAAAGTCTAAAATTAAACAAATATATGTGTTCTCATCACACACACACACACACCAATGTTTAAAAAGGCGCGCCCTCAAGTGCTTAGGTACTCAGTCCAAATCGCTTAATTAAACAAATATGTGTATTCTCGTGGCTATGCTTCCTATTGCATGATAAAATAACATTTTATATGTTTTTTTATTGGAAAGTTAAGGTAATTAATGAAATGAAGAATTTTTGTTGAACTATTGAATGATCTATTTTACTAAGTTATATATACATAGTAGTAAGTAAATCTTTAATTTTAGGAAGTGCGGCTCAAGTCATTAAGGTACGTGTCTCATGCTTGTGTCTTGTAAATTATAGAAACCTTATCGTCTTAGTGTGTCTTCAGCCATTTTTTACATTGGCACACAATCATATAAATGTATATTCATATAATCAATTGGATGGACATAAGTGTGCAGTTGGATACTAAAAGAATATCTTTGTTGCCTTTCATATTAACAATCATCAGAATATATATACCAGTCAGTAGCATAATTCTAGGCTAGAGAATAGGAGGTTAACAATATACAATGACTAATTCTAGGCTAGAGAATAAGAGGCTAATATAAAGAATTTATGGCTAACAATATATAGAAGATATACTATATTTAACACACCCCCACTGTCGAAACGGGAGGTTTACAGATGTTGAGACTGTCCCGAAAATCTTCAAACAATACTTGCGGTAGACCTTTGGTAAAAATATCTGCAATTTGATAACGTGACGGCACATGAAGAACACAGACTTGTCCGCGTACAACCTTTTCTAGAACAAAATGGATATCCATTTCGATATGCTTTGTACGTTGATGTTGAACTGGATTACCAGACAAATAAATAACACTTACATTGTCACAATATACTAAAGTGGCCTTCTTAATCGGACAATGTAACTCTAAGAGAAGATTCCAGAGCCAACATGATTCAAAAACCATATTTTCCACCCCACGATACTCGACCTCGGCACTAGAACGAGACAATGTGGGTTGACGTTTAGAAGACCATGAGACCAAGTTGTCGTCCAGAAACACGCAATACCCGGATGTGGATCTCCTCGTATCAGGGCACCCACCCCAATCGGCATCAGTGTAAGAGACCAGAGTAGAAAAAGAAGATGGGTACAAATAAATACCATGATCTAAAGTACCCTGAATATATCGAATAATCCGTTTGAGAGCAGACATATGATCAACCCTCGGATCATGCATATGGAGGCAAACTTGTTGGACGGCATAAGAGATATCAGGCCTGGTGAAAGTGAGATTTTGTAGAGCCCCTGTAAGACTCCGATACAAAGTAGGATCATCAAAAACAATACTAGACGTAGCACTAACCTTAGGCTTAGTGTCAACCGGAGTAGCAGACGGGTTACATGATGACATTCCTACAGGCTCAATTATTTATTCGGCATATTTGCGCTGTGAAAGAAACATACCACCCTTATGTCGAGTCACTGCAATACCCAAAAAATAATTCAATGGACCAAGATCATTCATAGAAAATTCAGAACTAAGAAGATCCATAATGGAGCACCGGAGAGCATGAGAAGAAGCAGTAAGAATGATATCATCAACATATAATAAAATGTAAGCCATATCTGCCCCATTGCTGTAAATGAACAAAGAGTTGTCACATCTACTACTAGTGAAACCAACAGATGTGTCAAAATCAGCAAAATGCTTATACCAAGCCCGGGGGCTTGCTTAAGTCCATACAATGACTTACGCAATAGGCACACATAATCTGGATGGGCACGATCCCTGTACCCCAATGGTTGATGCATATAAATTGTCTCCTGAAGCTCACCCTAAAGGAAGGCATTTTTTAGATCCAACTGATGAATTGGCCATGCCTTAGAAAGAGAAATGCTAAGAACAATACGAATAGTTGTCGGTTTCACAACCGGACTAAAGGTGTCACCACAATCAATGCCAACCAGTTGAGTTTTTCCATCACCTACAAGACGAGCTTTATACCTCTCAAAATCACCGTTAGAATTAACTTTATGAGTAAAAATCCACATAGACCGAATAACATTAACATCATGTGGATGGGGCACCAATTCCCACGTCTTATTTTTAATAAGAGCATTATATTCATCATCCATGGCCATTTTCCAATTCTGGTCACGAAGAGCTACTAATGGATTACGAGGCAAAGGAGACCTTGAAACCGTGGCATGTAATGCTTTGTATTTTGGATTGGGTTTAAAAATACCATGCTGATTTCTAGTGATTATAGTGGGCTTAGGTAGAGGAATAGTGGGAGCAGGAGCTACTGGGCCGGGTGAATCTTGGGTCGTGTTTGAGGTATTAGTAGAAACGGACTGGGCATGTGGGGAGTGGGCCTGTGGTGAGTGTGGGTCTACTGGGCCAGGTGAAACCGGGTCTGGATCCGATTAGGCAGGTGGGTAGACCTGGGCTGGCGTATGGGGATGAGTAGCAGACTGTTGAAGATGATTTTGCATATAAGGAGAGAGACCATTATCCAAATAATCATATGTATGTGATGATGGGGTATGTAATGACGCAAAAGGAAACAGATGCTCATCAAAACGGACATGACGACAAATGATGATTTTGCGGGATGATAAATCATAACACTTATAGCCACGATAATTAGGTGGAAAACCCAAAAAAACACAAGGAGTTGACCGGGCTTGTAATTTATTGATTTTGGTGGAAGGAACAAGAGGATAACACAGACACCCAAATACCCGAAGATGAGAATATGTAGGAACCCTTTGATATAGTACTTGAAGGGGAGAAATATTACCCAAAAGTTTGCTCGGAAGAATATTAAGAAGGTATGTTGCCATTTGTAATGCATGATGCCAAAAAGAAGGAGGAAGGGATGCATGAGAAAGAAGAGTACGAGTGATATTATTGATAGACCGAATTTTCCGTTCAGCCTTCTCATTTTGAGGAGAGGTGTGAGGACAAGAGAGACGAAAAGACATTTCATTCTTCTTACAGAAATCCAAAAATGGTCCATTATCAAATTCCCTCCCATTATCACATTGCATAGTTTTAATATTACGTTCAAATTGGGTAATAATATGGGCTTTAAAAATAATTTTTTTTTCATAAACCTCCGACTTTTGACCCAAAGGAAAAGTCCATAAATAATTCAAAAAACCATCCAATAATAACACGTAATATCTATGCCCTGTAGAACTCATAATAGGAGAGGTCCAAATATCACTATGAATTATATCAAAAGGTAAAGACGTACTGGAACTCGAAGACACAAAAGGCAACTTAATATGCTTACCGAACACACAAGAACGACAAATACTAGAGGTATAGTTTCGAGTACAATCAATACTTTTATTGGCCCTAAGAGCATCGAAAATAGAAGCACCCGGATGACCTAGACAATCATGCCAAAGTGAGGAAGAGAGGATAAAGATCACTTTGACTATCACACCTCAGGATAGGAATCTCCGTCGGATAATCCTTTACAGAAAACCCAAAAGGATCAAAGTCAACAGATACAGAATTATCAGTAGTGAATTTCCTAACAGAAATAAGATTTTTGATTATTTTGGGAACATGAATGACATTATTTAATGACAAAGGAGGATTAGGGGAGGGTAAACATGTATGACCATAACCACGAATAGGAATTGAATAACCATTTCTGACAATAATACCAGTATTATAATTGCTCAAATTAAAATAATGCGAGAGAGTACCGTTCGAGGAGGTTATATGTGATGTCGCAGCGGAGTCCATATACCAATATGAATCAGGTAGATTTAGAGCCATGGTGTGCATAGCAGAAGCAATGTCCGTAGGAGTATAAGAGCCAGACTGCCCATTAAAAGATGGAGCCATAAAAACCTGGTAGGCTTGTTGTGGAGGGAGAGGGCCCAATACCTCAGGCTCACGGTTTGGAGCAGGTGGACTAGCCCAACCTTGAGTAGGCATGGGATAAGGAGGAGGAGCCTATTGAGGCCAACCCCAATTAGGAAACGGAGCCCATCCCCAATTCGAAGCTCACTGCTGCTGGCCGTGCAAGCCACCCTTGCCAGGACGACCACCATAGCCGCCCTTGTTCTGCTTGCCTCCACCGTGGCCGCGGCCACCTGAATTTTTTCGGCCTTGATTGTTCTGCTTCTGGCCAGATTGTTGCTGCCCTTTCACTTGTCCCATAGGAGGAGAAATCATCGTCCTCATTTGATACAACTACCATGTCGGATTCAGAAGCCATAGTTGCCTCTTTGGCTAACCCAGACTCTTCAAGAGTAAGCATTGAACGGGCTTGATAAAACAGAGGAAGTGGATTACTTTGTCGGATCATCGTACCCACACCACGATATATAGCAGTAAGATCCGAGGCAAGTTGGAGTACAAGACGACTGTCAGACACCGGAGCCCCAACATTCTTCAATTGATCGGCCAGAGACTTTAGCCGTTGGCAATATGCCGAGGCATTGGGAAAGTGTTCCAACTCAGTGGTGGAGAAATCATGCTCAAGAGTGACCGCACGAGAATGCTTATTATCTTGGAATATGTCCCGCAGACGATTCCAAACTTCCATTGCTGTAGCATCTGGTTCAAGAATGATGTGCAAGAGATCGTTAGAAATTGTGGCGTAGATCCATGATAAGACCATGGCATCAAGGGTAGACCACATGTCGTAATCTCCCTCAGCAGCCTTCTCCTTGCTTTGATCAGAGGGGATGATGTGATGTAAGACCCTGTTCGAACATGCATGGACCTTAAACAACTCCGCCCATGTTGAGTATTGCACGTTCTCCATTTCAAGAATAATAGGAATGTGATTCCTAATGTTGGATACAACAAGAGCTGGGTGAAAGTTCTTGGATTGAGATATCGTTGCAAGAGAAGAAGCACGACAGAGAGAGGAATAGGAGGCGAAGAAAGATGGAAATCTACAGTAAGGGCGCAGCGGAGAGAGATCGAGAAACCCTAGACCTCTGATACCATGAAAGAATATCTTCGTTGCCTTTCTCATTAACAATCATCAGAATATATACACCAATCAGTAGCATAATTCTAGGCTAGAGAATAGGAGGTTAACAATATACAGAAGATATACTATATTTAACAGATACCCACCACTCCTATCAACGTAAAGTTTTCAAGTAACAAATCGTCAAATCAATCAAAGGGAAAGTCTGTAATGCCTGTTTTTCCCTCAGTAAAATAAAATTAGATTTATATTGATGTGATACTATTTTATTTTATGTATCATATCAATCAATAAAAATTTAAATTATAAAAATATATTTTATCGTTACATCATAAAGTGCATATTTTTTATTTTTTTATAATAAGTTTCTTCTATTTTTAAGACTTGTATATTTGAATAGGTACAATCAATAAGGGTAAACTAGTTATCAATTATCATTCTCATTTGAAAATCCTTTTTAATATATTAAGGATTTAGGTTTCACGTGATATTTAATAGAATTTATTTAGTTCTAAATTCTAATTCATTTAATTGATTGGATCGAGGATCAAATATAGAGTGATCAACCTCTCCTTGGATTTTTTTTAAACGTCGGTAATTTTATAAAGGAAGATGACACGAAATTAGTGAAGTAGGGAAGACTTGTACCTAATAAAGCAAACGAAAAGGACTTCCATTCAAGTTTTCAAAAGGAAATGAAACAATGACCGATCGCCGATGCACATGCAATATGATATGAGACTCACATTTAAAGAAAACATATATTGTTGTAAAATACATTTATGTTTTTATAGGTAAAATAGTTCGGTTGAAATAGAATGTTTGAAATTAATTTTGTACTTGTTCAATCACCGAAAGCTAGTAATTTATATGAATAAATCATGAAATTATAATTTTTTAATATTTTTAAAATATAAATAATAAAAGAAGACATAGATCATCTCGATGATTGATATCATCATAAAAACAATCAAAAGATTATGGAGAATAATATTTTCTTTCCGACTAAAGTAGTATGCATGAGATAAGATTATCCTAACAAAACAATGAGTCTTATTATTAATATCACACTACAGCCAACGAAAGCAGATGTGTTAGAAAAGAACTAAACATACTAACCATACATCTATCGTAAGAGTGAAGATAAAACCAACCTTAAAAGAAAAAAAGAACAAACAAAGATATGATCGAATATGTACAAGACAGGATGAAGTATCCATATATTTTTTTAATAAAGACGAGAAGATTTATCAAATAAAAAATAAAAATCAATTATAAATATATGAAATAGATATCTAAAATAGAGTTTGTTAAAAGTCAAATTAACGTTGATTAGATGGAAATAAATAATATATAGGTGAATGTGAGAAAAGAAATCAAGTAATGAGTCAAAAAAGAAAAAAGAAGAAGAAGAAATAGTTGAAGAAAAAACATTGGCGACAATTTACTATAAGTCTATTAACAGTAGTCCAAACAAATTTAAAATACAGAGTATGTTTATTTTATTTTTTTAATTAAAAATATAGATACCTGGATCTCTTGGATCATGTGCTGTGTCACCTCGGTTTCTTATTCACTGGTGATTAATGGTTAAGTAGACGAAAGTTTTAAACCTTCAAGAAGCCTTCGTATCTTTTCCTCATTTGTAGTGAAGGTGTATCTTCCCTTCTTTGCTGTACTTCTATTACTGGCAGTCTCAAAGGAGTTCGCATCGCTAGAAGTGCCTCTCTTATCACTCATATTTTCTTTGGTGAGGCTTCGAGAGAAGGGGATTTGAATGTAAAATTAATTATGGAAAAATACTCTGCTTGTTCAGGGCAAGTCATCAATTATGAGAAATCTTAGCTCCAATGTTACCGAAAATGGGAAGTGTTGAAGAATCGGGCAAAGATAACGAAAGAACACAAGAATTTTTAACGAGGTTCGGCAATGTGCTTACGTTCTCGGTGCCTAGGCGGCACTAGAAGTTTTATTTAATATCTCATAGGTTTAGGTAGGTTACATCTCTATTTATAATAAAAAACCTGGTACATAATTAATTACATAATTAACCTTGTACAGTACCGCGAGGGTATTTATGAGCCATACCTATCAAATCTCCACATTGGCGAATATCATGCCCCTTGGAAACTTCAATGTGGATTGGGTTACCTTACTTCTTTAACAACTCGAAACATTCAACAAGTCCAAGCAATGCTTGAACTTGTCTGTCGTAACTGACTTGGTGAACATATCAGCGGCATTCTCATCAGTATGTACCTTCTGAAACAAAATCTCTCCAGATGCAACCAACTCTCTGATCTTGTGGAACCTTATATCAATATGTTTAGTTCTAGCACGATACACCTGATTCTTAGCCAAGTGAATAGCACTTTGATTATCACAAAGCAACTGAACTCCACCTTGTTGAACACCCAACTCCTTCACTAAACCAGTAAGCCATAAAGCTTCTTTTGCAGCTTCAGCCGCTGCCATGTATTCAGCTTCAGTTGTAGATAGTGCCACAACAGATTGAACAGTAGACTTCCAACAAATATGCCATCCACCAAGAGTAAACACATACCCTGTCATAGATCTTCTATTATCCAAGTCACCTGCATAGTCTGAATCCACATATCCTACAACCAAAGGATTATCCCGCTGACTACCAAAAACAATTTCATATCCCACAGTACCCTTTAAGTACCGAAAAATCCACTTGACTGCTTTCCAATGTTGCTTACCAGGTTTAGACATGTACTTACAAACTTGACTAACATCATGAGCTAAATCAGGACGAGTACATACCATTGCATACATCAAGCAGCCAACAACATTAGAATACATAACCTTTGTCATATCTTCAGCTTCCTTATTGTCTTCGGGCACTGTTCTGATGAGAGCTTAAAGTGATTCACCAATGGAGTGCTAACTGGTTTTGCGTTGCTCATCGCAAACCTTTCTAGCATTTTCTCAACATAACCTCGTTGAGATAGCCACAATTTCTTTGAGTCTCTGTCCCTGCAAATTTTCATTCCAAGAATTTTCTTTGCAGCACCTAAATCTTTCATATCAAATTCCTGACTCAATAAGGTTTTAAAACCAATAACATCATCCATGTTATTCGCAGCAATCAATATATCATCAACACACAATAACAGAAAAATAAAAGAACCATCATCAAGGCTCTTAACATCCCCTGTCCTCTTTACTGGTATATTTGTGAGTCATACCTATCAGGAAGTATGATGTTTGTCATATTTTGGGTGTTACTATCACTAATAATGCTGAATCGTACCTTGGCCTTCCTTCTATAGTTGGGAGAAATAAAAGAGAAGCCTTCCTCAAACTCAAGGAAAAGTTTCAAAAACGAGTTCAAGGGTGGAGCACCAGACTCCTTTCTATGGGAGGTAAAGAAGTATTTATCAAGGTTGTTCTTCAATCTATTCCTTTGAATGCAATGTGTTGTTTTTTTTGCGTCCTAATAGTTTATGCAAAGAACTCGAAGCCATTTCAGCAGGATATTGGTGGCAAAAGTCAACAAATAAAAGAGGTATCCATTGGTGTGGCTGGGCTGAATTGTGCAAACTAAAACAGGATAGAGGCATGGGTTTTTGAGACTTTGGCAAATTCAACGTCGCTCTTCTCGCCAAACAAGCTTGGCGCATTGTTAGTAATCCAAGTTCACTTGTTGCTAGGCTTCTAAAAGCCAAATATTTTAGGTTCTGGTCTTATTCATAACAATTGTATTACCTCTGTTTTTATGGCAGAAGCTTTTGCAATTCTCCAAGGTTTACAATTTGCTCGAGATCTCGGATTTCCAAGGATAATATTAGAAAGTGATTCCAAAAAGATCGTCCAGAAATTAAGCGAGAGTACAATCAACTTATCTGATATAAGTCCTTTTCTTCGGGATGTAAAGGTTACAGCGGGAGCACTTGTCTCTTGCTCGTTCGTCTTCATCAGCAGAAACGACAACAGGGCAGCACATGCAATGGCTTTAGAGGGTTCTTGGCTCGTCTTCGATCAATTTTGGGCAGAAGATGTGCCAGAGGAAGCCGTTAAAGCAGCTGATGATGAATATCGGTTCATTGACCCACCATAACCACTTTCTGGATTTCTGAATCTACATGCAGAGGACTTTTCTTGTACCAGACTTTTGAGTCTTCCCTCTGCTCTCTTCTTTAGCATTCGAGCTCTCACAGGTGTCCTTCTTCTAGGCTGAATACTATCGTTTGATGGCCTACCTTCTTCTGAGCGTTCTCATGTCTTTTTTCTTAAGATAATGGTTCATTTTGTTTCTGGTCGCTTCGTTTTTTTTACAATCAAGTGGGGTCTGTCCACTTCTCTTTCTTTAATTTTTATTTGTAATAAAAGGTCACTCACGATTCCAATTTTTTTTTAAAAAGTATGTTCTATAATACTTAATTAACATTTTTTTCACAAATATTAAATCAGCCCCCTCTCTCTCCCTCCCTCCTCTCATCTTTTTTTTTTCTTTGCACTTTACCTCATTTTTTTTATAGATTAAATCAATTTCTTTTTCTTTGATTTTCTTTAGCCGACAATAACATCAATTTTGATGTTAATTGTCGATCGTTGATTGTTTTTCTCTTTATTTTTTTTTAAATTTTTTAATAAAAATAATTTTATATTTGTGACACGTTTATATCTGTCTTTGTGGTACGTTTTTCTCTAACTTTTGGTTATTTTCGTAATTTTTTTCTTAGGATTGGATTTGACATCGCCACAACTGATAAAAGTGTCACTTATTTCTTATCATGCTAATATTATTTGCTTTGAACCCTCGAATTGATTTGGATATGTGTTTTGTGTTCGTGGATAGTTTTCTCAGGTCGCTCAACTTTGATTTACGATTTGTCGAAGGTGTTTCAGTAGCTTCATCTCCTTATGTGGTTCGTTTGTCGATGCAGTAAAATTTGTTCGTATCTTTATTTTATTCGAGCTTTTTGATTATGTTTTTTTAACCTTTCATACTTTGATAATTGTGTGATCTAAGTCGTTAGTTTTTGT